ATAATTCCCCAAATGTGGTCATCAATGATTAATGAGTTTTTTTACGATACATATTCAAAGATTATGATTAAATAGATCAGTTTGGATATTTCATAGAAGTTTCGCTCCCCTGTTATATATACCATGTGATGTGAGTATGCGACGTTTGTGTTTGGCCCTTTTGGAGAATCCATCAAATCACTGAAATTCTTTTTGTTCCTTAAGAAAAACCACATTATTTGCTGAATCAGTCTAGAAAATATTTAATTAGTCATGAAAACAATATAAAAAAAGTACGTTGAGGAAAAAACAATAGTATAAAAATAGTTTGGTGAAGTTTCTTTCTATTTAATCGAATTTAACACCTTTGGAAGAAACTAGAATCAGTCATCAAAACCATCATCAAGCTCATTGACAAGACCATTCGCAATCCTTTTAGCTCTATGCCTCTATCCTATCTATGGGGGACCATACTTGTAACGAAAGTTGCGCATAACAACACCGTAGAAATACGTAAGATCAATCGGATATTCAAAAACAGTTTCAAACTCTTTGTCTCTTATGTTATGTATTATCTAACATTTAGAACATTGTAATAAACATTGTTTGTTTAAACAAATTTAACATTCATTTCGAAAAAAGAGAAGAAATTAGAATCAGTCATCAAAGCAATTTTCGATTAGTTGTTGTTGTTGTTACTTAAGGACCGTATTCGGGCCAGTCCATTTTAAGTCAAATCCCGTTGAAGACAACCAATATTACGGGGAATATCTCGGGCCCGTTATCCTACATCAAAGTCTTACTCGGCCCAATCCGGAAACAAATAATATTTTTGGACATCCAGAAATATATTTTTTTAGTCTTTTGCTCTTTTGTTCAAGAACCCCATTTCTTTATTTTTATTAGCCACAATGGTTCAGTTACAGTATCACGAGTTTTCACATAACATTCAAAACAGAAAGGCTTGAGAGTTTTCAAATTTCGCAGCATATATATGAGATTGCGTTAAAGGATAAAGAGCAGTTTTTCTTGTTTTGGAGCAAACAAAAGCTCATTTAGTAGCTGTCGATGTCAGTTTCAGGCCTTCTCAGGAAGTAACGCAGACAGTTCACCAAAACCTGCACGAGAGAAGTTGATTCTTTTACCTCTCTCTTTTTAAAACATTTTATAGTAGTAACAAAGGAAAGGAACTGGAACAAAAACTCACCTGCGACAACGAACTGTTCAGTGCTTGCCCTTGGTAGCTTACGTGAAACTTGTCTTTCGCAACCAGTCCCTAAGAAAATTCAGATGCATACGTTATTAACTTATTATTATTAAGCGTAGAAATGGAATCACACTGTATAATGGAGGTGTTAAGAGTTCTGAGTACTTCTGTGTCTATTTCTGCAGATTCCACGTCTATGTTGATATCTGCCATCACTTTTATCATCTCTACAACCAGACCTGGCCTGTCCGCTGTCTCTATGTAAAGCATGCTACAGAAACAAGAAACCGGGGAAGGGTTATGTAAAAGCTATTTTCTCAGGCTACTTTTTTAATGTGACCTTGTGGTGTCATTATTTTACTGAATAAATATGTATACCTCCTCTTTGGTCCGTCTTCTTTCACATGTATGTGTGTTGCGATATCGACATCAATCTGGCACCAGATCAATCCGAAGCAGATTAAGACATGAGGAAAGAGATTGTATAAAACATACATAGGACACAGAAGTATCATCTAACCAGCAGACTTAACATTACCTTCTTTTCTGGAGCCTTTATTCCAAAAGTCTCTCCCATTGCAAGTTGCTCGCTGCTTTCCTGCAAAAGAAACAAAGGCAATGTTCAAATAAAATCAACAGCTGGATGCAATCCTCTTCAAATGTGAATGTGATTAAGTCAAAGAGATTAAGGAAATTGAAGCAGACCGGATGGTATTTCAAGAGATTGTTGATGATTGTCAATCGGATTTGCTCCAATGAGTCAGGATCTTCCACTTTACGACCAGTATCTCTGATGTCCAAAAAAAAAAAAAAACAATTCAGGCGTTTGTGACAACTGACAATACAAGTAGCTGAAGATGCTACTGGCACACAACACCAATATATTTTAGAAACAGAAAGTATATGATCAGATTCACTTGTCTCAAGCTAATTGTCTATTTTTGAAAGAAAAATCTTTCAGAGAAATGTTATTAGCCAATGTCAATCATGGGCATCAAATGACATCTACAGAATTCTAACCAGCATAAGATGAGCATAAATTTCCAAGGGGTGATCATAATAACAATCAGCACAAGGTATTGTACAGCCTACTAAACGAGTGAGGGGCCAATAAATGATAGGAAGATATCTAAAGCATAGAGAGAACAGGAAATGAATGGCCACTCTTACAGTTTTGTTATAGAAAATCTTGTCTGCTTAACGGATCCTTTAGTTGAGACAGTTCCTTTGACTACATCCAATCCCAAATCTTTCAGTGCCTTCATCTGCCAAACACAAAGCCGAAACAAGGCGAGTTTCAATGATATCAAAAGACAGGCGATTATAATCTGATAGTTGCTCCAAATCTAGCTCCAGAAGAACAAGAATACTTAACGCCTTCTAGCGTCGTTGATTTAAGTAGCCTCTTAGTTACAATGATAAGATAGGAAATCAAACTAAAGCAGACGATAGAAATCACTTACTGTGTCAATGAGAGCCCCAAGACGATCTCCAAAACTGAGTTGTACAATAGTGGCTTCAGGGTCAGCATCCTGGTCTATTAAAACCATTGGCATTGGAACGAAGTCATCATCATCTTCCGATTTCTGCGATCAAAGTTTTCCAGCAAATGTCATCTCAAACCATACGTCAACACAAAACTCATATGCAGAACCTTTCCCTATTGAACATAAGAACATCAAATCACATATCAAATATTATCCACATCAACACAGAACCGTATACTCTCAACATTTACTTGCCGAGCTTCTGCACACATATACATGTAAGCCAAACCAATAGATCCCAAAAGGCAAGAACCATCTATAGTTTAATTGCGACGAAACAAGTTACTGACCGGAGAAGATGGAGTACTAGCATCAGTGCTGTTAATCGACGAATATACACGGTTTCTCATACTGCATATCAAAACACACAATCACAGAGATAAATTAGCAATCTCAGAAAAAAAAAAGCATACAAACTATTGACATCACGAAACACTCAAGAATTTGCAATTGATTCATAGAGAAACCAAATCACCAAGCAATTTATTCTTTATAATCTCAAGAACATGTTCCTAAGACCCTATCGATACTTTCTCAATTCTCTCAAGTTCCAGATTCATAACGACACATTCAACTACGAGAATCGTTCCATTTGCCAAATCGTTTTCGAGCACATACAGAGCAGGGATTTAAGTAGAATCAAGCTCCGAGTAGCCGAAGTAAACGATCAAGCAAAGGTAACTTTAATCGAGTAACCAGAACGAGCATGAAACAAGACTATAAATCTCCAGCGATTCCAGCGAAACGAAATCTCAACGGAAATATCGCAGAAACAAGACATATACAATATACGCAACATCTAACCTCTTCGTCAAGAGAGACATTACACCTCCGACGAACTTCCGGCGATCATCGAACAAAGCAGGAGATAGATCTGGAGAAGCAATTTGAGCGGGAAAACGAGTCTGCCTGGTGATCGAAGAAGAAGGTCGGTAAGAAGTAAACGAAGAAGAGAAATTAGTTGCAGAGAAGATAGTATTCGAGAACGCCATTGAAGTCTGTAACAAGAATTTTTGTTTTC